GTAAATTTGTTGGGGCTTATTTTACTTTTGTTGAAATGTGTAGATTTTGAGAGATTTGTCTATTGTTTTAGTAAAAGCCTAATATAACATAAAATCTCTAGCATTTATTTAATTATAAGATCCAATTTGATATAATTAAAAAAAAATTAGGATAAAAATTATAACATAAAAGTTATTGGTCAATCCAAACATAATTTAGTACATAATATATATATATATATATATATATATATATATATATATAAATTTAAGGTTGAAGATTTGATTTTCTACTTCTAACTTAGTAGAACTTGATAAAATAAAGGTTAAAAAAATACATTTGGTCCTTATATTTTCGCTAAATTTACGATTTAGTCTCTAAACTTTTTGTAATAATTAATCCTTATACTTCCGTAACGATTCAGCCTCGGTAGTTCAAAATTTGTAACAATTTAACCCATATCATAAAAAAATTATATTAAAATTAAGTGTCAATTTTTTTTTTTGTTAACAATTTAATCTTTTTAACTTATAAATATATTTGGTCTCTCCTTGGTTTATCAATCTATATATATAAGAAACTTGACAAAAAAAAATCACGATAATGATAAATCGTTACAAACCTTAAATTACAATGACTAAATTGTTACATATTAAAATTCAATGACTCACAAATTTGGAAATACAATGACTAAATCATTACAAACCAAAGTTCTGGACTAAATTTTTATTTTAAGTGGAGCAGAGAGACGAAAAATATTTTTTAAGGTTAGCAATAGATTTATCTTTTTTCTTGTTTTCTTGAATACCATGAAAGAATAAACATTCAAACCTTTGACCCCCGAGAGGCAATTCGTAGTCAAAGGAAGGGCTTGATTTCTGAAAAATAATTCAACATTTGGAATCAAAGTGGGACCCAATCAAGATTTTTTCTCTTTTTTTTTTTTTTAATGATCTTGGAGATTGTGTAATGCTTACTCTCAAACTATTTGTTTATACTGTAGTAATATTCTTTGTTTCTCTCT